TGTTTCTTCCTTCTCTCATCTTCTTATCATCTAACACAATATGTGGTAATAGTTAACTATATATGTCAGTATTTAAGTTATAGGACATGAAAGAAGGAGTGTTATCAGCTAGGAGCAGAATGAATGCCATTCATGGGCCAAAAAAGACTATTTTCCTCTTTTGGGAAATGGTTAACATGTTAATAGTTATGTGATAGTAGGGTTATGTAAGGTGGAAGCACAACTTCATTATCATCATAATTTGGAGAATTAAAGCATGGCTCAAAGAAACATGTATGGTACTAAGTTGACAAGGGGCAGACCATGATGCTTTTATAATGTGTCATCTTGCCTAGAGTGCACTAGTTTTCCTAGGATTATTTTATGTTTACAGTTTGGGTGGGCCAAAAAGGCAATTTTTGGGAGATGTGTAATGTGGAAAGGAAATAGTAGCCATTTGTAATTCACATATGTTGTTGCTGACTGGTGACACACTTAACTGACTCATTTTGTTGCAGCTTGGCCTGCAATTACTCTACCATCCTCTAGATCCTCCTTCAGCTTCTCCAACTCCTGGCCTATGTATGTGTTTTTATGACAAACAGTCCCAGCTTCTGAAGGATACCCTCACCTTCAAGCTCAAAGGCAACAAGAACTAACATGGATTTCAGTCCATTTTCATGAGGTTCTAGTTTGTACTTGTGACTTCCAGGCTGACCCTGACTTCTTCCATTTTACTTCCATCTTCCTTTCTGACTACTCTGCCAACATCAAATTCCAGCATCAGACACAACAGCATTATAAGACTGCCTAACCAGCTCTCATAATTGTGCAAGCCAATTCTCTTTAACGAATCCATATATACATGTACATATATTTAATTACTTGTTGTGTGTTTCTGGTTGAACACTGACTGATATATCAGGGATAAAGAAGGTCATTTCATCATGAAAAAGGAGTCAATCAAGAGGCATAACAGGCTGGGCATGGTTGGTCACACCTGTAATCCCAGGACTTTGGAAGGCCAAGGCAGCCAGATCACCTGAAGTCAGGAGTTTGAGACCAGCCTGGCCAACATGGTGAGACCCCGTCTCTACTAATAAAACAAATACAAAAATTAGCTAGATGTGGTGGCACGCACCTGTAGCCCCAGCTACACCGGAAGCTGAGGCACAAGAATAGCTTGAACCCATGAGGTGGAGGTTGCAGTGAGATCATGCCACTGTGTCACAGGATACTTTGGGTGTTGCTTTTCTGGTCAGAAACCTCTGTGGCCAGTGGTACCTTTGCCTGAGTTTTGCTTGGGCCCACTGGGATTGTTCTGCCCACTCAGGCTGCGCTTGGCTAATGCTACCAGCCTGGATCTCACCCCTGCCAAAGGCGAGCCAGCTGTGGAGCAGCAAGGGGTGTGTGAGCAAGAGAGTGTGGGGTCTGGCCACTGCACAGAGTCAGGCACGCTGGCTGCAGCAGGGTGGGCAGCTCCAGGTGCTACTATGGGTCCTGGCTCACTGTGAGGCTTTGACTGGACTAAGTACACCGCGGTGGTGCCCAGAAGCTTGGAGACTCCAGGAAGTGCAGGGCCCCAAAGGGAGTCACAGTTCTGGCTCAGGAGCTTCCTGGTCTGGGCTCCCCGAAGGGCCACAGCTCTTCTCTCCTTTGCCTGCAATGTGGTGAGCAAGGGGCATGTTTCAGCCCTGTTTGTGTTATAGCTCTTTCAGCCCCACTATTCAGCAGGTCTCAAGTTTTTGTCCAGCATCCAGAAAGAATGAGGTAGGCAGACAAGTGGAGGCTGAGCAAAGTGAAGAGGAGCTTTACTGAGCAACAGGATAGCTCAGAGGAGACCCTGGAGTGGGCAGCTCCTTTCTGCAGGCAAGACATCCTGTTGTCTCTGCAGCTGTCAGCAGAAAGAAGGCCCTGGAGTGGGTAGCTCCACTCTGCTGGCAGCTTGTCCCATCATCTCTGCAGCTCTCAGCAAAGAGGAGGCCCTGAAGTAGGTAGCTCCTCTCTGCAGGTTGGTCCTCCTGTTGTCTCTGCAGCTCTCAGCAGAAAAGAGGCCCTGGAGTAGGTAGCTCCCCTCTGCTGGCAGGTCTTCTCCCCAAGTCTGGCTGAGTCCAGGGACTTTTACGGGCCTCAGAGAGGAAGAAGTGCATGCTGATTGGTCTATGGGCAGATCCAAGAAAAAGCACCACCAGTTCCCTCTCCAGTCAGGGGGACTGGTGGCCTGGTCATTAGGCTTCAGGCCTTCCCTGGGGACTTGCCCCTTTCTGCCCCAGAGCATGTCGCCTCCTACTGCTTTCTATGGTGCCCAGAGAAGCACCTGTGGGGAGAAGCACCTGCAGGCCAATGCCAAACTGCCCTCGGCCTTCCCTCGGCCTCCCTCCTATGTTTGTCAGCACCCAAAGTCTGGAGGGGGCTGAGGCAGCAGAGGAATGGCCTGTCAGTACTGCCTCAAGTATGTGCACAACTGGCTGGGCTGCAACAGCACCCTGGCTCAGCCCCAACCTTGCTCCTAGATGGGAGCAGTCACCATGAGCAGGGCGAGGCCAGGCAGCAGAAGCAGATACCTCTAAGCCTGCTGAGGTGGGGGTGCCTTCCCAGGCCCATAGAGTGCAGAGATATCCAGGTTGGTCCACAGCCACAAGTTGGGTGGCTACAGCTGCACAAAGGAGGTGGGGGGATGCAGGCGGGGCTCCGGCCTGCTCCCAGCCTCCAAGAACATGGTCTGTAGCAAGGACTCGGGTGGCTGCAGTTGGACCTGGGAGGGTGGGGCTCCTGCCTGCTCCCGGTCTCCAAGAACACAGGGAGGCTCAGCCAGCAGCCATCACTTGGGCAGTTGCAGCTATGCCCGGGGAGCTCCCACCCACCAACTTGGAAGGAGCTGGGCTCCTGCTTGACCCCATTCCCTCTGGCTCTGTGAAGCTCACAGCACGGGCAGAGCCTCCCAGCTGCAGCCAGCATCTTGGCAGTGGCCACTCCAGATGGTCCAGATGGCCCACCATTGCCATCAACAACACTCCAGCCTGGGCAACAGAGTGAGAGACTCCATCTCAAAGAGAAAAAGGAAAAGGAATAATAATTCTAAACATTTATGCAAATTGTGAGCTTCAAAATACATAAAATTAAAACTGATAGAATCACAAGGAGAATAGACAAAACCACAATTATTGACAGAGAATTCAATACTCATCTTTCAATAATTACTTTTAAAATTAGTAGAAAATCAGCAAAGCATATAGTAAACTTCAGTAATACCATTAATCAACTAATAATAATCAAATAGTCGACCCAACGGCAGCAGAATATATTAATATATCCTTCTCAAATGTGCATGGAACATTTATGAAGACAGACCATGTTTGGGGCCATTAACGAGTCTCAATAGATTTTAAAGAATTCAAGTCATACACAGTATGTTCTTTGACCACAATAAAATTAAATTAGAAAGAAATATCAGAAAAATCTCTAGAAACCCCCCAAATATTTAGAAACTGAAAAAATCCAAGTTCAAAGTATTCTGAACTGAATGAAGACAAAAACACAACACATCAGAATTTGTGAGATGCTGCTAAGGCTGTACTTAGGGGAAAATTTATAGCACCGAAGTTCTATAACACAAAATAAGAAATATCACAAATCAGAGACCTCAACTTCCACTTAAAGTAACCAGAAAAAAAGAAAAAGGCAAATTAAACCCAAAGCAAGGAGAAAAAAGGAAATAAAAGGGGCAGAGTGGAAATTAATAGACCAGAAAATGAAAGACAATTTTTAAATAAATGGAAAGCTGGTTCTTTGTAAAGATAAAAATGACAAACCTCTGGCCTATCTGACAAGGGCAAATGGGAGAAGATACAAATTACTAAGAGCAAGAATGAAAGAGGTAACATCACTGTAGATTCAACAGATACAAAAAGGACAAAGTAATATTATAAACAACTTTATGCCAACTTATACAAAATTGGCTGATTCTTTAAATGATACAAAATACTAAAGCTTACCCTAGAAGAAATATATAACCTGAATAGCACCATATCTATTAAAGAAACTGAATTTGTTAAAGTCTGGAGGGGGCTGAGGCAGCAGCTACCACTTAGCCACCCACTATTTTCTGAAATCTCTTCTTTCCCCACAGGACAGGTTAATCCAAGTCACACGTCTCATTGGTCTCAAACCAGAAATGAGATCCTAACTTCTCATTTCCTAAGATATTTATATGAACACAGCAATATCCTTTCCTACCCTGATTACCCCGCACCCTCCATTTCGGGTCCTTCTCACCCTGATCAAT